CATAAACATGACACTACCCCCGGGGTTTACACAGACGAGCCGGCGAAGCAAGAAGAGCGCCAGAAGAAAGGGCCCTAGCCGGCGGGGCCCAGCCAGGACAAAAGGAGGTCCCACAAAGCGCCTACACCGGCCGCATTTGCGGTCGGGGTAGACGACGGATGGGGCCCACCTACGAAGGCTGTCCAGGCCTACACGAGATGAGGCAGGATAAAGAGGGATAATCCCCCTCGATCCCAAATCATTGAGGCCAATTTCTAGCCATAGAATAATGGCGCGGCGGTCAAGGACGTCACAAGTACCAATGTTTGTAAATACACATTATGTCAACACTATCGAATGTAAATAAAGGCGTCCCCTTTATTTATTAGTCTGAGGTACAAACCACAAAACATTTGCGAACGGTGCGAACCAAAACGAAGCCGTGGTTGATTATTTATATTTATTAACCTATAAAAAACAAAACCAATAATATTCATCAAGTATCAAGTTGAATGTTCTTGGATTGGACCATTGCATGAGTGTATAGTTTATTGCAGTATAGTGAGAGATTTAAGTTTTTTTTTTATTTACGTTATGCTGCGAAATATAATCTATATTTAGTTTGGACCGTTGTATTAAAGGGATTGATGTGCCGATTTAAATTGTTTTGTTGAAGTTCCCAGTAGTTTTTTTTCTGTTTTTAAAATGCGTAACAGGTATGAGTTAGGGGCAACTGAGGATAATTTTGATGATGAGTTGAGTGAAGACACAAGATCCAGAAGAAATAGTATATATAGTGTTCCATTTTATATAGGAATTGGCATACTAATATTTCTTTTACTACTATATGGGTCTATATTTTTAATTGATAATACACTTCCAACTCCACTAACTGTTGCTGATGAGGTAAATATATAACTTTAAAATACTCGTTTATAAATGACTTATTTATTCTGCAGAAAATATATCCAGACGCCTTTATAGCTGAGAGAGCTATTCATGATCTCCAAGTATTGACAAATATTGGGCCACGCATTACTGGTGGCTATGAGAATGAAGTGTTAGCTGTAGAATTTCTTAAAGGAGAAATAAATGTTATTATACAACAGGCCAATCATCATCAATATATTGAGCTGGACTTGCAAGTTGTTAGTGGATCCTACAATTTAGGATTATTGCTAGTAAATTCATATGCGAATGTGCAGAATGTGGTTGTAAAGTTGCATGGTAAAAATAATGCAACTAACAGTATTCTTATTAATTCACATTTTGATTCGGTACCAACGAGTCCTGGTAAGTACCTATTTTAATTATATCATAAACCTACCTATTCATCACAATTCAGATATGTTATTTTTGTTATTGATTTTGGTATACATATATAATTTTCTATTGTAATTACCTATATAATTTTTTTTTGTTGTCATTCAGTACTGTTATAGATTACTTTAATGAGTTTTATAAAATACTTATTATGCTATAAAGATAAACCAATAATAAGTACATATTTGTTCAGTGTTCCCATTTGTGACGTTAAGCTATTTCAATTATCGTTAAATATAGAATATTATTTATATTTTATAATCCCAGTAGTGGCTACAGTTACACTTTTTTTTATTTGTTGACACATATGCTAATACAATTTTTCATGTAAACTCCAGTGACTTATCGACTGTTATACAAAGTGTAACCTAAGTACGTTAAAATATTTAAGTGGGGCAATCCTCAGTTAATTCTAAGAAAAAAAGTTTATATAAACCTTTGTCCGGAAATGCTTTGTTTCTGAGATATAGGGTGTTGAAATTAAAATTAAACAGAATCATTATTACAACAGCTGCTGAAAGTGGCAACCTCCGTCTTTATTACAAGCTTCTCGCCAAAGAATCCCGTACCCGTTGGAAAATACCAGGAAAATAAAATAAATTAATAATAAATAAAATTCTCAACAACTTCATTTAACACCTAATAGCTATTTTACATTGAGAATTTATTGATCAATTAATTCATAATGTCGCTTCATCAAGAAATTGGACAAGTGTAATGCACCAAATCTGCTGTCAAATAACTTCATCAATTTATTCATCAAGTTCTTGACAAATTAGAGCATGTTCTAAGTTTCGTCAATTTCTTCGTGAAGTTCGGAAGTACCAACCTAATAGCTTTCCACCCTCAGATCAGTAATGAGGTTATGTTATTGTAATATGTTTAATAATTGTGTGGTGTCGTACTAGTTTTGCATTGTTTTTACTGATTTGTTACTTACAAACACTAACATTTATATAATATGTGTCAAAACGGTACCGATGTTGTATCACTACAATTATGAGTGGAAAGGTGACATTTTTGAAATTTATTTGCTTCTTTGATTCGTTGGTAGAACTGATTCATGCGTCATGCGACTTGATAAAGTCTGTAGCAATGTAAAACCACTCTGTTTACCAATAAATTCGTGACTTAATTCATGAAGAACTTCGTCAATTTATTCATCAATAAATTGTCAATGTAAAATGGCTATAAGGGACTCAGCAAATTGCATTTTTACAGAAATTTGCAAATTTCTCGAAAACGGTGGCTTCTAACGTTATTAAGGAACTGTACTATTTTACTTAAAAAAGGTGTAGGAATATGGTTTCTTCATAAAAAATCATAGTGAAAGTTTTCTGTCATAAAAGTTATGACAAATTAAAATTAATAAAGATAGCGTTCATAGCACCCCCTAAGTGCTGCACAAAAATTAATATCAAATTATGATTTCTCACCTCAAAAAACCCCCAGTTACACAAATTTTGCAAAACATTTTCGTAGAAGTTAAGAAAATCGCAAATAAAATTTTAATTTCAACACCCTGTATCTCAGAAACGAAGCATTTCTGGACAAAAGTTTATATAATTTTTTTTTCTTAGAATATACTCGGGAATACCCTACTTAAATATTTTAATGTACTTAGGTTACACCCTGATCCAGGGCCGGACTGGCTTCACAACAAAGGCGCAAACCTTGACTGTTTGAGGGCGCAATTTTTAAGGGCAACCTTACCTCCTCGTCGTACAATATATTTTTCAAGCCTTATTTTGATCACTGCAAGTAAAATTAAAATGTTTTGTTACAAATAAATTATTGAATAAAAATAAAATATTAATTGTTGTTTACTGTTGTCAATAAATAACAAACCGCTGCTAACTGATTTGACAATACTATTCTTTCTTGAAACCATTTAACGATTTAAAAAAAACTTTATAAAAATTACATTAGGGTTATTACGTGCAATTATTTATTTCTGCATATAATTGTATCGTTTATACTCACGTACTTTTTGCATTCTTTTCATGCGATGTCTCAAAAACAAATGTGTATGGTTTTAACCAAATTTTGCAGTTTTATTTATGCATGTCCAACTTAGATCTTCATTGCATTTATTGAAGACCTAATTAAAATTGTTTTATTGAGAAAATCTTTTAGAAATAATAGGTAACTAATAAGTAGAAACCGTGTGCAAAATTTTATCTAAATCGATCCACCTGATCTCGAAAAATTAATAAGAAATGGGTATAGAATTCCGACTGAATTTTCAATTTCTTTAAGATTAGCAAAACGCTATGAATGAATCGCAGTGCGAAGCACCGTGGCGCAATAGTTATTTCATTTTAAGGCTTAATCTTAATTTTTGTTTTTGAATGTTAATTTTTTGAAATTTTTTTTTACATTTATTGTTTCATATGAACTTTTTTATATTTCAATACTTAAAAATAAACAACCTAGAAACAGACTTATAGTAGCTAATATGAATTTTATCTTCATGTTTTCTGAGATTTCTTTCTCAAGAAAAATTGTATATATCTACAACTTTAGTTCAACTTCTAGACTTTTCAAAAAACTAGTGAATAAATACACAAGATATATTGATCTTAAGTGTTTGGAAAAAAATAATATATGCCTAATTCAGCAGCTAGATGACACTGATTTAAGATGTAAGCAATCGAAAATTATACATTAAATAACTGCGTATAATTAAGTAAGATGTGATCAGTTTATCGGATTTTTTTAAAAATGTAGGTGCCTATGGGAAAAGGCGTATTAGCCCAGTCCGGGCCTGCCCTGTTATGGAAATTCATTCTAACTGAAGATCTGTATAATATAAAGCATGTATCAATTTTTAGAAAAAGTCCAACTGTAGTCGCCACAAGTCACTAAAAAACTAAAATTTTTGGTTAAGTATATCTCGAAAATTAAAAAATGTGTCGAAAATCTGTTTTTACATTAAAAATTATGTGCACTTTGTGCAAATCTAGGATTTCTTACAAAACATACAATTTTTAGGAGGAAGCGATGATGGGATCAACGTTGTTACAATGCTAGAAATATTTCGTAAATTATCTAGATCACCAGAGCGTCCTACACATAATATAATATTTCTCTTTAATGGAGCAGAAGAAACTCCATTGCAAGCTGCCCATGGATTTATAACAAAACACAAATGGGCAGAAGAATGCAAGGTAGTTGTTAATTTGGAGGCTTGTGGGGCAGGCGGAAAGATAATATTATTTCAGTCTGGGCCAGAAACTCCATGGATAATGAAATATTACTACAAGGTGCCACATCCATATGGTCAGGCAGCTGGAGAAGAACTATTTCAGAGTGGTGTAATTCCATCTGATACAGATTTTCGCATTTTTAGAGATTTCGGGGGACTTGTAGGTAAGTTAAATGTTTAGTCATTGACTCAAAGTTATGCGAAAAGTAACAGCTTTTTAAATTTTAAACAATATTAACATGCAAGTCACAAAAAGCTTATGAAAATTTAACAAGCAGTATATGTGAAACCTTTCCTATGAAGTGTTAGATGTTCAAAAACATGATAAGTAAAGAACAAATGAAGTGTACATTTTTCATTAAATATCCTAGAAACGTACATATTTGGGTTTTATAACTATTTCACAATCGGAAATCTTAAGCCTCCTATAATATCTTTTAGGTGCCAATTTTTGAAAAATTGTGTTAGTATTTCTTTTATTTCCAAAATTTAATGTTAATCTTGATGTTATCCTACACCTCTCCAAATGCTCCTTTACGAAATTCTATAAATAATTTTTTTTTTTTCAGTTAGTATTTTATTTTTTATCAGCACAAATTTCTGACATGATCAGATTTTCCACTAAATACGATAAATCTATATGTACCTGAAGTTCCGAACGTTCGTTTGAACGAAAATGAAAACTCGTAATATCACGTTTAATCGTACTTAAAATGATTTTACCACCTAAATTTTGGCTTTTGTAGACGAAAACAACACTTCCCCATCATCGGAAGTCACCCCCCATATTAACCACCCTTAAAACTTCGTTACATGTATTTTAGAAAATTAGCCCCGTACCACCCTATATTTGACATAGGTTGTTGACATTACTTTTATATTGATTTTTAAAAAACATTCGGATCTTTTGTCACTATTAGAAGACATCCTGTCAACAACCCTTAAAACCGTCATAACTTATATCTCCAATCAAGCTTAAAAAGCCACGTTAAATTTGATTTAAAAAGTTTACGTTTCATTTATAGCCATTTACAAAAACTATTGCCGCCCTTTGTTGCCACCGGAAACTACCCTGTCACTATGAACTACACTTGGAAAGGTCAAGTATTCTATTCCAAATATCAAGCCTACTATCACATTATATCTGCCCTAAAATTTTAAGATAACATCTCTATTTATTTATAAATACTATTTCTGCCCTTCGTTGACATCAGAACCCACCCCGTCAACTACCCTTAAACTGATAATATCTTATATCCCCTGTATAAGGCTGAAAGCCATAATAAATTTTTAGTAAACCGTTAAAATTATATTTATATTGACTTATGACAAGTGTTAATACCCTTTGTTGCCACCGGAATCCACCCCATCAACAACCCTTAATTCAGATAGTTTATTATTTCCTTGATGTCAAGCTAAAAGCCATAATGGATTTTAAGTAAATTGTTAAAATTATATTTATATTGACTTATGACAACTATTAATACCCTTTGTTGCCACCGGAATCCACCCCGTCAACAACCCTTATATCAGTTGTGTATTGTATCTTCGGTATTACGCTTAAAGCCACAATGGATTTTAAGTAAATTGTTAAAATTATATTTATATTGACTTATAACAACTATTAATACCCTTTGTTGCTACCGGAATCCACCCCGTCAACAACCCTTAAATCAGTTGTGTCTTATATCTCCGTTATCAAGCTAAAAGCCATAATGGATTTTAAGTAAATTGTTAAAATTATATTTATATTGACTTATAACAACTTTTAATACACTTTGTTGCCACCGGAGTCCACCCCGTTACCAACCCTTAAACCAGTTGTTTATTATTTCCCCGATATCAAGCTTAAAACCATAATAGATTTTAAGTAAATTGTTAAAATTATATTTATATTGACTTATGACAAGTGTGAATACCCTTTGTTGCCACCGGAATCCACCCCATCAACAACCCTTAATTCAGTTGTTTATTATTTCCCCGTTATCAAGCTTAAAGCCATAATAGATTTTAAGTAAATTGATAAAATTATATCTATATTGACTTATGACAACTATTAATATACTTTGTTGCCACCGGAATCCACCCCGTCAACAACCCTTAAATCAGTTGTTTATTATTTCCCCGATATCAAGCAAAAAGCCATAATGGATTTTAAGTAAATTGTTAAAATTATATTTATATTGACTTATAACAACTATTAATATACTTTGTTGCCACCGGAATCCACCCCATTAACAACACTTAAATCAGTTGTTTATTATTTCCCCGATATCAAGCTAAAAGCCATAATCGATTTTAAGTAAATTGTTAAAATTATATTTATATTGACTTATAACAACAATTAATACCCTTTGTTGCTACCGGAATCCACCCCATCAACAACCCTTAAATCAGTTGTGTCTTATATCTCCGATATCAAACAAAAAGCCATAATGGATTTTAAGTAATTTGTTAAAATTATATTTATATTGACTTATAACAACTATTAATATACTTTGTTGCCACCGGAGTCCACCCCGTTACCAACCCTTAAACCAGTTGTTTATTATTTCCCCAATATCAAGCTTAAAACCATAATAGATTTTAAGTAAATTGTTAAAATTATATTTATATTGACTTATGACAAGTGTTGATACCCTTTGTTGCCACCGGAATCCACCCCATCAACAACCCTTAACTCAGTTGTTTATTATTTCCCCGTTATCAAGCTTAAAGCCATAATAGATTTTAAGTAAATTTTTAAAATAATATTTATATTGACTTATGACAACTGTTAATACCCTTTGTTGCCACCGGAATCCATCCTATCAACCACCCTTAAATCAACTGTGCATTATATATGTTGTATAGTTATTATAAGGCAGTATAAGTTAACAATTCACTTAAAATCTGTTATGGCTTTAAGCTTGATATTGTGTACGTAATACACAACTGATGTAGGGGTAGTTGACGGGGTGAATTCCGGTGGTAGCAAAGAGTATCAATAGTTGTTATAAGTCAACATAAATATAATTTTAACAATATACTTAAAATCCATTATGGCTTTAAGCTTGATACCGGGGAAATAATAAACACCCGATTTAAGGGTTGTTGACGGGGTGGATTCTGGTGGCAACAAAGTGTATCAATAATTGTTATAAGTCAATATAAATATAATTTTAACAATTTACTTAAAATCCATTATGGCTTTAAGCTTGATACCGGGGAAATAATAAACAGCTGATTTAAGGGTTGCTGACGGGGTGGATTCCGGTGGCAACAAAGTGTATCGATAGTTGTTATAAGTCAATATAAATATAATTTTAACAATTTACTTAAAATCTATTATGGCTTTAAACTTGATAACGGGGAAGTAATAAACAACTGATTTAAGGGTTGTTGATGGGGTGGATTCCAGTGGCAACAAAGGGTATTAATAGTTGTCATAAGTCAATATAAATATAATTTTAACAATTTACTTAAAATCTATTATGGCTTTAAGCTTGATAACGGGGAAATAATAAACAACTGATTTAAGGGTTGTTGATGGGGTGGATTCCGGTGGCAACAATTGGTATTAATAGTTGTTGAAAGTCAATACAAATATAATTTTATCAATTTACTTGAAATTTATTATGGCTTTCAGCCTTATACAGGGGATATAAGATATTACCTGTTTAAGGGTAGTTGACGGGGTGGGTTCTGATGGCAACGAAGGGCAGTAATAGTATTTATAAATCAATATAGATGTTATCGTAAAATTTTAAGACAGATTTAATGTGATAGCAGGCTTGATATTTGGAATAGAGTACTTGACCTTTCCAAGGGTAGTTCATAGTGATAGGGTAGTTTCCGGTGGCAACAAAGGGCGGCAATAGGTTTTGTAAATGAATATAAATGAAACGTAAACTTTTTAAATCAAATTTAACGTGGCTTTTTAAGCTTGATTGGAGATATAAGTAATGACAGTTTTAAGGGTTGTTGACAGGGTGTCTTCCGATAGTGACAAGAGGTCCGAATGTTTCTTAAAAATCAGTATAAAAGTAATGTTAACAACCTATGTCAAATATAGGGTGGTACGGGGCTAATTTTCTAAAATACATGTAACTAAGTTTTAAGGGTGGATAATATGGGGGGTGGCTTCCGATGACGGGGGAGCATTGTTTTCGTTTACAGAAGTCAGAATTTAGTTGGTAAAATCATTTTAAGTACGATTAAACGTGATATTACGGGTTTTCATTTTCGTTCAAACGAACGTTCGGAACTTCAGGTACATAAATCTATGAATGTCTATGTTCTTAATTCATTTCGGTGATTGTGAATGTCCTAGACATAGTTCGAAAACCTCAGTAAGGAGTAAAGACGAACAGCATGCAAGAACAGTTAACAAATCTGTTCTTACTCGTAGACAATCTTGAACGGTCATGATCGGCTGATTCCACAATAAAAATTAAACATGTTTGTTAACTTAAGAAGAAGCAAAATGAATAATGTCCAAGAATTTAGAGTTTAATTTTTACAGATTTTGTAATTCATATTACGGATTTCTACAGTTTTTTTTCACATGGATCCACAGATATGTGTACCAATGATTTACACTTCTAATAGCTGTTTTACATTGACAATTTATAGATGAATAAATTGACGAAGTTCTTCATGAATTAATTCACGAATTTATTGGTAAACAATGTGGTTTTACACTGCTACAGACTTTGTCAAGTTTTTTGACGCATCAGTTCTACCAACAAATCAAAGAAGCAAATAAATTTCAAAAATGTCTCCTTTCCACTCATAATTGTAGTGATACAACAGCGGTACTGTTTTGACACATATTATATAAATATTAGTGTTTGTAAGTAACAAATCAGTAAAAACAATGCAAAACTAGTACGATGCCACACAAATATTCACATATTCCAATAACATAACTTCATTACTGATCTGAGGGTGGAAATCTGTTGGGTTGGTACTTCCGAACTTCATGAAGAAATTGACGAAAATTAGAACATGCTCTAATTCGTCAAGAACTTGATGAATAAATTCATGAAGTTATTTGACAGCAGATTTGGTGCATTACACTTGTCCAATTTCTTGATGAAGCGACTTCATGAATTAATTGATCAATAAATTGTCAATGTAAAACAGCTATTGCTAATTCATCATTTAATAATTGGAGAAAAATATTGTAGACTAAACCAGACCAGAGGATGTAGAAAAATGTTTAATAAAAAAAAATTAATAAATTGTGGAAGGCTTAGGATTTTCATTTTGAGGAATATAAGTTTCCAAGGATATGTATTCTTAAGACCTATTTGGTAAAAAAATTAAAAAAATATATTAAAAATATAAATATGTTTGTTTTTTACTTGTGTTAATGTGTATAAAGACAAGCTTTGTACAGGCTGCCTAGTTTTCCATGATACCATTGTTTCTAAACTACAAAGTTTACTAGCTAAAGTCTCATAACTATTTTCACATTGTGTTCAATATAATATCAGACAAACATTTCTATACATCAACAAAATTTCTTATTATAATTAAATATCGTTCATATTCTTGTAGTTTTGGAAATATGATCAGTATTTGAGTTGAAAATATGTAGTTTTACTAAACCCTTTTGTTAGAGATTTTTGCCATATTTTGTCTACTAATATGGGTTTAATTATTAAGTAACAACACAAGGTTATTTATTGAAATCCAAGTGATGAAAAAAAAAAAAACTAGTTTTATTTTCACCATTTGGTAGATTATAATAAACTACCATAATTGTAGGTGTAGATATGGCGTTCTATAAAAATGGTTACAGGTACCATACTAAATTTGATGATTTCAAGAATATCCCTCTTGGATCTTATCAACATGTAGGTGACAATGCATTGTCACTAGTGCAGAATCTTGCAAATGCCCCTGAGGTATCAGATCCAGTTCCAACATATGGAAAAATTGTATATTTTGACATATTGGGACTGTTCATGGTATCATATACAACATTAGTAGCAGCTATACTTAACTCGATAACTGTTATTATATCATTGTCAGTGTTTTTCTACAGTATTATGGATTTTAAACTGAGTAAGTTATTAGTGGACATAGTTAATGTCAATGAAAATGTTTATTATTTTTTTTTCAGGTTTAACCAAAGGTACTTTTAAATATTTAGGTATAACATTTGCATCGATTTTAGGAAGTTGGGTAATAGCTGGAGCAGCTGTATTATCTATAGCATACTTATTAGATTTGGCAAATAGTACAATGAGTTGGTATGCAAATCCTTGGATTGTTTTGGGGCTATATGTGGTACCAGCTGTAGGATTTTCTGGTTGTTTATTGTTTCTTATAAATCATGAGGTAATCTGCAGAAAAAACAATGATTTGGCATTATCATTACTTTATTTTCCATTCATAAGGGTTGTGTGTTGCTTCCCAACCAGTTAACATGTCCTGATATTTACGTAGGGTAAAGATAATGTAAACATAATACTGCATAAAAAACTGTTCACCAACAATACTGCTATAAACAACTAATAACCAGTGGTGGCCTTAGGGGGTGACGAGCAGGGCAATCACCCGGGGCCTCACGCAACAACCCGAGTAAAAAAAGTTTATATTTAAAACTTTATCTTACCTTAGCTATTAGTTATAGAGATATATGACAATAAAATAAAGTTGGTTAATTCATAGTAAATACATTAATACTTAATAAGTAGTAATAGTCTAAATAAATCTAAATAAATCTAAATAAAATTTTTCATTTAGATTTATTAAATGATCGATATCAAAATCAATTAATTTATCAGTGGATAATAATATTTTTTGTAATGATTGTAAAATATAATTGAAAAATATGTTTGAATCTTGTACCTTATTATTGTTTTTAAAAATTTGTTGTCTTTATATTTTTTGTTAACTTTTAAAAATCTTTTAATATAATATTTGAAGACCCAAAATTTATAACTTTTGCATTTCTTTTAAATTATCAGAAATATCTACATTTGATTTACGTACATTTCACAAAGAACAAGGGCCTCGTAAAGATCTGCTGCCCGGAGCCTCGCAATGGTTAAGGCCGCCACTTACTATTACTGACAATCTCTTTCTGATTAACCGACAACAGTTTAACATCTCAAATGCCGAAAACAATTTTTAGAGGAAGCACAGTTTGGGCAACAGTAAAAACGGAAAATGAATCAATTTAATTTGTTTCATTTTGATAAATGACAAATGGGATTATGTCGATAGACTAGTTACATTTAATTAAGAATCACAAAAAGATATCCTATTTCTGCATAAAGTAAGGTGATGATAAATTATTATTTGACTTAAAAACAAACAGTTTTAACAGTTGCTGTAATTTCTTTCAATTTGTATGTTTTGATTTTGATAACTTCTTTATTTAATTTGCTCTATACTATTGCTCTTATGGCACATATGCTATGGACATGCTGTAGATTTTTGATAAATCTTAGTGGTATATTTCTGTTTTGTATTTCAGAATTTATCATTAAATATAAGAACACAGATCCAGGCTCACATGATAAGACTGATATGGACAATAATTTTGTTAATAGGGACTATCCTCAATATTCGTAGTGTGTATGCCCTGTTGATACCAGTTTTTTTCAATTCCCTCGGCTTTATTATTATACATGGCTTCAGGTGGCAACACACAGGTAAGGGCAAACTATATATAAACTAGTATATTCTTTCAAATTGTAATTCGTGTTATTCATAAAATATCATTGAACCTGTATTGGTAACATATCAATAATGTGTAATTCTTACAATGTACTAAAAATATTTAAGTACTTAAAATCAAATACATCTTGCAAAAGACAGTGAGATTGAAGTTATTAATATTAGCAATAGCTAAACTAAAATTTACTTATGTTTTAGTTCGAAAATGGCAACTTGTATACTTAATAAGTCTGATAATTCCCAGCATTTCACTAATGTACCAAATGTTGATTACCTTTTCACTGTTTATCCCATTGACTGGAAGAATAGGGCCCAATAAAAATCCTGATGCCATTATTGGAGTTGTGACTCTTTTCTTTACGATATTAATAATATCTCCATATGTAAGTACAAAAATCGCAATAATAAAAATGATCTATCTTTATATTACTTTTCAGGTAGCCTTAATCACCCTACTTCGGAATTCTAAGTATTTCTTTGCATTTTTAGGTATAGTTTTTGCAGTATTTCTGATAATAATTTTTACTCCTCTAGGATTTCCTTATAGAGGTGGTAATAATGCTCCAGCTCCTCAGAGACATTGGCTCGTAGTAAGTAACCATTTTTTTTATAGAATGTTGATTTGACTTTATAGTTCTTTAATAAATCTATTTAGAAAGTAACAATAAGTTTTAAAGGGTAATTTTTAGATACAAATAAATATACCATGATTCATCATATTTTTTCTGCACATTTGTATCTCATGAAGAGATTTTGAGATTGTTTTTATTTTTATAAGTTAATATAAGTAACTAATATTTATCTACAGAAATTGAACTCTTCTTGCCCAAAAGGAGGGTAATGTTTTTTACAAAATAAACAATAGCACTCGCATAAACAAAATAAGTACAGTATAATCTCTATAATCCGGCACTTCACTACAGCGACACGTCCAGTAATCCGGCGTTATTTTTTCCGCGTTTGTTTACTATTCTTGAAGAATACAGTTTATACAGTTATAGTTTAGTTGAAAGATTATTTTACAGAAACAAAAACATTACAATATACATATATATGCATACACAAATGTAATATGTATGTATCTATGTATCAATCTCTTTGTTAATAAACAATTAAAAGTAAAGTTTTTTTAATTTTATACTGTTTACATATACATTTTCCATTAATCCGAATTTTCCAGTACTCCGGCACTCTTATGTTTTTAATGGTGCCGGATTAGTGAGATTGTACTGTATATTTAAATCTATAAGAAACTACTATAGAAATAGGTACATAGGTATGTACTATGATACTTGAAAACAATGTTCCTAGGAGTCCTAGGATCCAAGTTAATCAAATACTATTTGTAAATAGCCACTTTTCTTGCCTTTTTTCTGCAAACTTATTTATTCATAGCTGATCACGATTTTAAATTATTAAGATTTTCTGTTTCTATGGACAGTACTGATAAGTCTGATGGTCAGTCTTGTCCCATAGAAGTTCTAAGATGATTTTTAATCAATTTAATCTTAGAAAAGCTTCTTTCAGCTGTTGCTGTTGTAACTGGAAGGGTCAAAATTAGGAAACATGCTGTTATTGTCTCCGGAAAATTGAAGGCAAGGCATTGAATTTTTTCAGCAATAATTCTGTGAGTTCCTTAATGGAATGGATTTTCTGAATTTCAGATTTCAAACAGGTTTTCAAAGCAATTTTTATTTTTTATTTTTATTTTAAAAATTACAACATCCAACAGTTTACACTAATGACAGGATGAGGTAACAATGAAAATACACTAAATCACAGCAAATAAAATAGCACACAAACAAGAACTAACCTAAAAACACTTTTTTAATACCGGCAATGGTTGTATTAAATATATCAAGCTGGCTACTTATTAAATTGTATTTAGTACAATACTGAAATAACGGAGACTTGCTCAAAACATTAGTTCGAGGGACAGGAAGATGGAACGTAGCAACAGAGCTTAACGAGAACCTCGGAATGTTTAACCCTAACTTTTGCAAAATGTTAGAATCATCAGTTTCATTGTTCAATAGTTTAAACAAGAAAATAATTGAATAGCATTGCCTACGAACATTTAAACTTTTAAAACAGTGTCTCTGAAGCAAAAAGTCATGAGGTATATCAATCTCAGGGTAGATGCCATCAGATTTGAAAGACAACAGTTTCAGGAAACGTCTTTGAACAACTTCCATCTTGACAGATTGTGTCTGATAATACGAATTCCATACTACAGAGGCATACTCTAACTTTGTCCTTACATACGCGTAATATAGGATTTTTAATGTTCCAGGATTAGCAAAGTCCCTACTATATCGAGCTATAAAACCATACATACGATTAGACTTGGCAACTATGTTATCTATATGCACATTGAAGGATAGACGCTTGTCAAATATTACACCTAAATCAGATACAGTTTCTGGTCTCTGAATGACGATATCGTTTACCCTGTAATCATAACTGATTAGGTCTTTTTTGAGGGAATAGGACATTACATTACATTTTACGACATTGATCTCAAGATGATTTAAACTGCACCATTCTACAACACATTTTAAGTTATTATATAACCAAACAGTCAGCCTCAGATTGGATCTCACAATAAATTTTCAGGTCATCTGCTTAAAGAAGGCATTGCACATCTAATATACTAACAATATCATTTATAAAAATATTAAACAATAAAGGGCCCAAGTTGCTTCCCTGAGGCACTCCAGATGAAGCTACGTATTCAGTAGATTTAAAACCATTGAACATGACATACTGTTTTCTATCCATCAGATACGAAGTCAACAGGTTGAATAAGTTTAACGACAAACCACACGATAATAATTGCCTCAACAGCATGCCATGATCAAGTCTGTCAAATGCCTTCAACATGTCAGTATATACGACATCGACCTGAGACTGTTTGTCTAAGATTTTGGAGATGGAATTGTGTAACATTAACTAAATTGGTGGTAGTAGCACGGCCTTTCATAAACCCATCCTGATGTTTAGTCAACGTTCTGCTGACATGATGATATAACCGATTGTGTAGAAGAATTTCAAAAACTTTGCAAAAATTAGAAATAATTGATATAGGTCTGAAATTCATAATATTGGACTTATCACCCATTTTATAGATAGGACAGATCTTAGATAATTTCCATATATCAGGAATTTTAGCCGTTTTTAGACATATATTTATAAAAACACCTAAAGGACGAGCAAGAACATATGCACAATCACGCAACAAGAATGCTGGAATATTGTCAGGACCAGTTGTCAATTTAGGTTTTATTTGCATCAATGCACGCCTTACCTCAGTCTCACTGAAACTATTGATATTTAAAACTGCTGAGTTGTTTGTTACAATATCATTAACATTAAAATTAGTTGATGGCAAATATGATTTAGCAAAGAAATCAGCAAACGCATTCATTATTTCTTGCGGTTTAGTGAGCTGAGTATTATTATAATGCATATTGCTAGACACATTTGATACTGATGTTTTATTGTTGATAAAAGCCCAGAATTTGGAAGGATTATTTTTTATGTTTGCCTCCGCTGACAAAACGTAGTTCCGGTATGCTGCATTAACATCAGTTTTAACTTGTTTCCTCAAGTCTTTAAACTCATTAAATGCTGCAACATCATTGAATCTTTTATACCTTTTGAGTAGTTTATATTTACGCTTAATAGATTTAATTATGTTTAAGTTAAACCAGGGAGGAAATTTGTTTCTTGTATTTCGGCTATATTTGGGAACACATTGATCTATAAC